TTAGAATGTACTTTCTTAGTCAAGCTGCAACCCACAACCCAAGGAAGTCACCTATGTTGCCCAACCTTTTGCAACTCAACTTCTGTACTATTATACCGCAAAATAGTTCACTGCTTCCCCAAAGTACCCAATACCAATACACAAATTCAAAGAAAACAGAAAGCTAAGAGCAATGAAGAAATGGAATGGGTGGCAGGACTTTTTTAGGGTAATTAAAAAAGATACAGAGGCCACCTGCACTGACATAAATTGGGAATAAGAAAAATAAATTCAGACATCAAAGCAATGAAGTGATTGGAAAACCAGGGTAGGAGAGGAATGGGTCTCTTTATTCAGTCCAAACAATGGTATGTTAAAAGAGCTCCAAGAACACAGCATTACCTACTTACTTGTCAATGTCTAGGGAAGTCTGGACAGCTGTCCCACTGTCACTCTTGCTCTTGGCCTCTTTTTGTCTCCGAGTCAACACTTTCAACAAAAAAAGGAGGGGAAGGGAGGCGAAGGGAGGGAGAAAGAGAGAGGAAGGAAGGACGGAAGGAAGGAAGGAAGGAAGGAAGAGGGGGAGGGAGGAAGGGAGGGAGGGGAGGAAGGGAGAGAGAGGGAGGGAGGATGGGTGGAGGAGTGGGGAGAGGGAAGGAGGGAGTGAGGGAGGGAGGGAGAGAAAGGAAGAAAGAGAGAGAGGGGGAGGGAGGGAAGGTGGGTAAGGGAGAGAGAGGGAAGGAGGAAGGGAGGGGTAGGAAGAAAACCGTTAGTTGGCAGTAGACTCCAAATATAAAAGACAAAATGTATGGGAAGAAGCAAAGTTTAAAATCCTATTCCAAGGGCACCTGAGTGGCTCAGTCTTTAAGCGTCTGCCTTCAACTCAGGTCATGATCCCAGGGTCCCGGGATCGAGCCCTGCATCGGGCTCTCTGCTCAGCAGAAAGTCTGCTTCTCCCTCTGCCCCTCCCCTGCTTGTGCGTGCGTGTGTGTGTGTGTGTGTGTGTGTGTGCTCTCTCTCTCTCTCTCAAATAAATAAAATCTTTTAAAAAATAAATAAATAAAATAAAATCCTATTCCACTGGAAGAAGTGCACTATGTGGGAAACCTCTGCCTTTCTAGCAAAGAGAGTAACACCTGTAATGTATTGCCTGAAATTGCCAGCCACAAGATATTCCTGTATTTGCTAATGAGATCTTTTTATCCCCCGTTGCCATGAGATCTAAAGATCTAGTCAAGGCGCACCCGGCTGGCACAGTCAGTTAAGCGTCCGACTCTTGGTTTCAGCTCAGGCTGTGATCTCAGGGTTGTGAGATGGAGCCCAAAGGGTCTGCTTGTCCCTCTCCCTCTGCCCCTCCCCCCGCTCATGCTCAGGAGCACACACTCTCTCTAAAATAAATAAAATCTTTTAAAAATATTTTTTTAATTAAAAAAAAATAAAGATCTAGTCCACATAAGGAAAGGTTTTGTGTAATATCCCAACTAGCAGCACTCAATCCCTTTATACTTTCCCAACCAAAATTCTGTCTGGTGTGACTACACACTGCAATGAGGTGTTCTATGACATACATAGCTACATCTATCTGAGTACCCATATTAGCTCCAATCTTTACTCTACAAAGTGCTCCAATTACAAGAGAGGAAACAAGTTCACAATGGTAACACAACCAGTTTTTCCCACTACATTAGGACTACCTCCCAGTGCTAGTGAGTATAGACAGCTTTAGCCCAGGTGGCATACCAATACTTTGTCTCATACCAAAAGGCATCTATTTATAAAATAAGTCTCTTAAAAGATCTTGGAGGTTAATCAACTGTTTTCTAGTCTTCATTCCCTGCAATAACAAGAAAAAGTATAACCATCTCACTTCAAATCTTGCCTTCTTCGTGACTTGAAATCCCCATGCCAGAGAATTTAGGAAGCTTATCAGTTCACAAAATAATTTAGGTTGTAAAGCACTGATCTAGTCCAAGAGTCAGAAAACTTTTTCTCTAAAGGGCCACATAGCAAATACTTTAGGCTTGGCAGGCCATATGGTCTCTGTCACACAACCCAACTCTACACTGTAATAGAAGGCAGCCATAGACAACACATAAATAAGGGGTGTGGTATGTTCCAATAAAACTACAGAAACAGATGTCTGGCTGGATTTGGCCCCCAGCTGTTCATAGTTTGCCTACCCTTCTAGCCAACCTTCTACTCATAAAAAATGCCTTCTATAAGCATCCCCAACAAGTAATCATACAGTCTCAACTTGATTATATCCATTCACTGAGGGGAATTCATTTCCTCCTAGGGAAACTCATTCTATTGCTACACAACAATCCAGCTCAATCTGTATTTACTGGGGGCTGTATGAGTAAGTTTACCCCCTTTTCCATAAGTCAGCTCGCTCTTTGAACACTTAAGCTACATTACAATCTTAGATTTACTCAGTTGTCTGCTGAAATGTAACCTCCTTCAAAGCAGGGACTATATCTAGTCATTAATCCAATCTCTAATGACTGCAGAAACTTTTTGATTGCCTAGGTTAATTCTAATCCTTGTAACAATCCTCTAGATTGGTATTATTATTCTGCCCTACTTTAAAGGTATGGAACATGGGGCACCTGGGTGGCTCAGTTGATTAAGCAGCTATCTTCAGCTCAGATCCAGATCTCAGGGTCCTGGGATCGAGTCCCGAATCAGGTTCCCTGCTCAGCGGGGAGTCTGCTTCTCCCTCTCCCCTTCCCCCTCTCGTGCTCCCTCTCTAATAAAAAAATAAAATCTTAAAAAAAAATAAAAATAAAGGTATGGAACAAACTCAAGAGGCACTGACTTTGCCAAGCTAGCACAAACGGTAAAGTGGTAGAACCCAGGATAGATATAGATCAGTCTGATTTCCTATACCCAAGTTTTACATTCCTAGTTGACCTCCTTTACATACACCCCGATCTGTCAGTCTCTCTCTATATGTGTGTGGAACCCAAAAATGGGCCAAATGCTCAACAAGCAGTCTGACCAGTTGAGAGAACACAAGAACCACAAACTAACCCACTGAGACTCATATTCTACTAATCCAGCCAGGGCTGTATTTGCTTTATTGACAATCTTAAACTGAGCTTAAAGGTAATTAAGATCCATCCCCTACCCTTCCAAATTATCTTCAAATAAAATATTATTAAGACAAGTCTCCTAATTCTATACTTGGTTAACTAAGTTGTTAGTTATTTCCCCCCTTAAACACAGGACTTTATATTTATCCTTGTTCTTTTCAGCTGAACATTCTAGTCTGTTGATATCATCTGCAGTCTTGATTCTGTCATCTGATGTTATCAGCTCTCTTTTCCAGCTTTGTGTCATCTGCATATATGACAAGCATGCTTTCTACATCTTCATCCAAGTCAATGGGAAAATAGTTATAATAAATGACATGGCCAAGGACAGAAACCTGTGGCATTTTACTAGATAAGCCTGTCTTCTTCTTCCTGGTCCAAATTTCCTTTAAATACTTAATCAAGCAAATATTTATTGAGAATCTTCAACATGCAAGTAATTTGTGGATATATAGGAAATTATGTGGTAGGGTCCTTGCTTTTTTTTTTTTTTTTTAAGATTTTATCCATTTATTTGACAGAGAGACAGAGAGAGAAAGAGAGAAAACAAGCAGGGGGAGCCACAGAGGGAGAGGGAGAAACAGGCTCTGAGCAGGGAGCCCAACGTGGGGATCGATCCCAGCACCCTGGGATCATGACCTAAGCCGAAGGTAGACACTTAACCGACTGAGCCATCCAGGTGCCCCACGGTCCTTGCTTTTAAGGAGCTTACAATTTACTAGGCGAGATAGCACATACACTAAATAACTGTAACACAAAGTGTAAAAAGATATGCATAATAAAACAAGATCATATACACAAGCAACTTTTTTTTTCCCCTCCCTTCCTCCTTCCCCTCATAAGCAACTATTAATAGTGTTTGTCTCTGGGGAGGATGACAGGGACACTTGGGGAATGCAATAGGAGGGAGGCATACTTTTGCACTATATACTTTTCTGTACTGTTGAATTAAAAATTAAAAGGGAAGAAAAAAGAGACCAAATTATAGAGAGGTCTTGGGTACAAGTTAAAAGTACACTATTTCTAAGGTTCCTTCCAACCCAGAGATTTTAGAAGTAAAAAGAAAGTACTATAAGAGATAAACATCCTGGACATAGCTGTATAACCACCTTCAAATCCACCTCCTATTCTATCAGCCAGTCCACATTTCTCAATCTTATGTATAAGGACTTCATGAGAGATTTTATCAAGTGCCTTGCTGAAATCAATTCTCAAAAGGTTGGCACCTCACGGATTAAAGAAACCTTTTTTTTTTT